TGTTTTGCAAAATATATTTATATAAACATATACATACATACATATATATATATATATATATATATATATATATATTATGGTTTCAAAATGTTTCAAAAGGTTTTAATTTCCGGGATCCATGTGAGTAGAGAGTGCAACACTGCACCTTGCAGCCGAGGAAAGGTCCTCTCTTGTCAGGCAGTGTTTGATCATTATGGGCTAAGAGGTTAAGTGTAAGACCATTGAGGGTTATACCTGATGGGCTAATCTTGCATCTGCCCACAATTATTGGACCTTCATAAGATGGTTGGACCCAATGACCATTTAGTGTAAATGTTGGGCCCATTATGAGCCCATAGTGATGGACTAAGGGTTCATTGGATTCAACAGTGAATTCGGCCAGGCCTTGTAACAGAGGCTAGGCTGAACCCATGTGGTTGATGTGTAGATCAATGATAGGGTCCCATGCCATACAAAGAGAGCCGAGCTAGTCAGCATTAAAGTGGAAGTGAGCCTGAAAGCTTAATGGTTCTAAAAGCCCATTTCATCTAAGTTAATTAGATTAATTAAATAGGGGCGGATCTGGGATTTGGATTAACAGATAAGATAATTGATTATCCTTATCCACTTAAAGAGTCTAGATCCAAATAAAGATTTGGATCAAAGGAACTCCTAATTTGATTAGGAAGACTGATCTTTATCTGTAGAAAAGATAAGAGATTATCCTTATCACTTAAGGAGTCCAGATCCAAATAAAATATTTGGATTAAGATAAGTCCTAATGAGATTAGGAAATTGTCTCTTTAAGGCTATAAAAAAGAGAGCAAGGCAAACCTTGAATACACTCTCACTCAATACAGAGAGAAGACAATTCAGTTAGACTGATCTTGCCTTTTACTCTTTTTTTCCCTGCTTTTTCTGCCCCACCCTGTTCGATCTCCTGTTCTTGGCTTGGATCAAGATTCGACCTTGATGTTGTTTCTTGTCAGAAGAGACAATCTAGAAGTTGTGCTCACTATCCCATTCAATTCTTGTTGAAGAATCACTAGTTCTTGGTGAAGAACTACCTGCTGATCCTGCCTCATCCTAAGTTGTGTCATTTTCAGTAGAGGGAGGATTTGGTACTCTCTTTGGGCGTGAGCACCTACGTTGGGAGGAGCATACTTGCGTGGATTCTGTATTAGGTATATCCCTCCATTTATTTGGTTTCAGATTTGGTCCGGTTTGGTTACAAGAACGAACATTGAAAATGTGGTTTTCTAAATTGGGAATAGGATTCCTAGATGGGAGTAAAGAAATTTTTGAAATTTCGCCCAACCTTCTTGAAGGGTTCGGTCATCCATATGATGGACCTCCCATCTCTTTAAGGCTATAAATAAGAGAGCAAGGCGAACCTTGAATACACTCTCACTCAATACAGAGAGAAGACAATTCAGTTAGACTGATCTTGCCTTTTGCTCTTTTTTTCCCTGCTTTTGCCGCCCCACCCTGTTCGATCTCCAGTTCTTGGCTTGGATCAAGATTCGACCTTGATGTTGTTTCTTGTCAGAAGAGACAATCTAGAAGTTGTGCTCACTGTCCCATTCAATTCTTGTTGAAGAATCACTAGTTCTTGGTGAAGAACTACCTGCTGATCCTGCCTCATTCTAAGTTGTGTCATTTTCAGTAGAGGGAGGATTTGGTACTCTCTTTGGGCGTGAGCATCTACGTTGGGAGGAGCATACTTGCGTGGATTCTATATTAGGTATATCCCTCCATTTATTTGGTTTCAGATTTGGTCCGGTTTGGTTACAAGAACGAACATTGAAAATGTAGTTTTCTAAATTGGGAATAGGATTCCCGGATGGGAGTAAAGAAATTTTTGAAATTTCGCCCAACCTTCCTGAAGGGTTCGGTCATCCATATGATGGACCTCCCATCCCTTTCAGAGGTAAGGAGTCGACTTCAATTGAGATAACATTTAAAAGACACACAAGCAAAATGGTCTCAAAAATATTACAAAGGGTAGTTTTGACATTTTAAAAGTTTTAAATCTCACATGTTATAAAGGGTAGTTTTGACATTTTAAAAGTTTTAAATCTCATGTGTCATTACATGATATAGATAACTGAAAGATAATTAACAATAGGTATTAAATTGACGCATTTTGAAAGTTCGGATAATGAATTTACACATTTTAAAGTTCGGGGACCAAAGTGATACTAAGCCCTAAGTACATATACTAATTTGGAATTTTCCCAAAAACATTGCGAGAATATGAGAAAGAAAGTTTGTGTTTGGATTTTCTATGGAATATTTGCTTGATTTAAGAAACTGCAGTTGACCATCTCAGAAGAATTGCAGCAATGTTTACAAAGAAAGAATAATTACAGGATTCTTTTAACGTTAAATAAAGAAAAGAGGAATTCACGGAGAGAAATAAGTGCGTCTTGGAACTCAATTGTTTTGGCGCGTAGACCTATGGAATTCAATTTGTGGAATAGAGATGACTGTTAGGGGTGAAGGGCAGTAGGTAGGGGTGTCAATTGGACTGGATTTGGTCCAATCCGGTCCAGTCCAATATGAGTCCATTACAAATGGACCCGGTCCAATCCAGTCCAGTGAATATTTTGGACCATTTTGGATCGGTCCAGAGACTATCCAGTCTGTTCAAATTCATGTTAATTTAGATTGGTTTCATCTCAAACATGGTCCATTGGCACCTATGTTCTTGTCTTCTATCAATGGACCAGATATTGGCTCAATCCAATATAAATTCATTATGGACGGACCAGGTCCAATCCAATATTTCATATTAGTCCATCCAGTCCGTCCAAATTCAATGTCTTACTGGTCCGTCCAATCTGTCCAAATGGATTTTGATTTGGATGGAGTCCAACCCAAAATCGGTCCATTGACACCCCTAGCAATAGGTTTGGTGCTTGCATTTCCGTTAATCGCAAGTTTAATAAAATATTGTAGATTTATTCAAATATTACATTTTAAAAATTTAAAGAAGAATCATGGGTAAAATAATCTTTTCAATTTTTCATTAATGGATGTTAATGGTAAGGAGGATTTAGTCAATTATCAAAAATTTAAGAGTATTTAAGTCAATTTCTAAACAGTATTGATGATTGGGTGAATAAGTCAATTTCCTAATTGATAGAGGAAATAGTTCCTCATTTTAAGCCAATTTCAATTATTTTTGGATGATGCGGCATGTGACATAGATAGAGGAATAATTCCCATAAACACAAAAATTGCTGTTGATAATCACTCGCAAGCAAATTGATAAATGACATGGCAACAATGCTACCAAACAAACAATTTCTCTAATTTTTGAGAAATCTCATCAATGAATCAACATCGGTCCCCCTTTATATCTCTATATAGGACTTGTAGTGTACGCAACTTCATGAGGCCAAGCCCATTACCCATATCTTCCCCATCACAACCTTTACAAGGCCTATCTCTCTTGTTTGGTGAACCCATGTCAAATTCCACATTGTTCAGAAGTATGGTGGGTGTCATTTTTAGTTAACAAGATCTGCCAATTTTTTAAGTCCATTGTTTGAACGTTGGTCAATGGCGAAACACATATTACATTATCTCAAAAGAATCATCACATTCGTGGTCTCTTATTTGACGGTTTTACCTTCCATACATCTCTCTTAGGGTGTGTTCATTTTCTGAATTTTCAGAAGGGGAAAGTTGTTCAATAGGATTTTGGTTTCCATTGACTGAAAAATCTATATTCTTTTTTCATATTTATGTGGGAACCAGAGAAATTTTATTTTCCTAGGTATCACTTACCTAAGAAAGTGATACCCATCTCCTAGGTGGGTAAATAACTTTCCCACCTGGGAGAAAGTTGCCAACACTTTGACGGGATAAAAATTCCTCTTCTAATAATAGATTTTTATGGCTAAAATGATGATTGTTTTATTTACTTGGAAAATAAAAGAACATGGATAAATACACTTACCTTTACTTAGGTAAACAATTTACCGAAAAGTGAATAGGGCCTTTGAACATATTGGGTGAATTGCCCCAAAAAGATTATTCCCCATTTGATTGGGAGGAATAAGGGTCTAGAATCGGAATTGGAATGAAATATTCTGATTCCAACTGTTTGGTTGGGCAAATTTGAAATCTCATTTCCATTCCTGGTGGAATAGCATTCCCCAGTTTGAGAGAATGGCCATCTTGGGAATGAAACTACATTCCTGTTGATTCCAATTCTCATTCTCATTCCTATGAATCAAACAAATGAAATCCATAATTTTACTAAATTGATCAATGAAAATTCAAAATATTTTCGTCTTTTCTACCGGATAAAAGTGAAAGATGTCTGTGGATCGGGTTGAATGATACACACACACTGACCCAACCTATCGGGTTAGGGTTAGGATCTGACCAGTCTTAATAAAGTCCCGATTGGATTGGATGAATCGGTGCTAAATGCCGCATGTCTAGTAGTTAACATTGCTGAATTGAAATATTTGCATACGCCCAGATGTATACAGGTTGGATCAGATACTCGGATTTGTTTATTTCATTTTCAGTCGGTTCGCGTCAGTGACGTAAGCTAAAGCTATTCCACGCCAATCAATGAATGGCTGTTCTCGGTCTCCACTTATGTTCCCAATTTCCCATTGAATTGATTGCATATTAGCTTCGGATTCAGATTTTTGTGGCGTAGAGAGAGAGATAGGAGGGGAGGATGGAGGTGTTTCACGCTTCAGCAAGTGAATCTCCGTTGTTGGGAGAAGATATGGTAGAAGGGATGGTGGATTATGAAGGTTGCCGGGTTACCAGATTCAAGAGCGGCGGTTGGAGATCTGCATCGTTCATTATAGGTTAGTTTTTTTTTTTCATAATTAATTTTCTTTTTTGGTTTGATTAATTAATTCTTCCATCTTTGAGGGTATGAGATTTGAAAGACGGGTCACAGGAGTGGAGATGGCGGAGAGATTTGCTTACTACGGGATTACCTCCAACCTGATAAGCTATCTGACGGGACCGCTCCGGCAGTCGACGGCGATGGCTGCCGCGAACGTGAACGCATGGTTGGGGGTGTCATCCATGCTTCCTCTACTGGGAGCTTTTGTTGCTGATGCTTATCTCGGCCGCTTTCGGATCATTCTTTTCTCTTCACTTCTTTATGTTCTTGTTAGTATCTCTCCGCCCTCCGGTCTCCCCATCTCTCTCTCTCTCGCTCTGTCTTTTAACTGTAGATAGTGCTCCACTAGGCTAATGCCAGATGAGAAGTACCAATCAGCCCACTCTACTCCCAAAGTACAGGAGGAATGCATACCGTGAATTTATGTCAAATTCACGGGAAGGATGTGGTTTATAAGGGGGTTTGAATTCAGAATTCTGCATCGTGTGTTTTTGTATTTCTCCAAAAGAGCTATGGGCTGAAATTCAGAATTCTGCATAGAGTGTTTTCGTACTTTTCCTTTTAATTTATCCATAACCCACAAAACGTCCCATCTCTTTTCAATGAATCGGACAGACCCGAACCCGATCGAACTGGAACCTATTGATCCAGGGATTAAACTATACATGGGTCGGATAGTAGAACGGACTGGTCCCCGGTCCACCTGTTTTTTGGACAAAGTGTTAGGCATGTGGATTTGGGCTCGGACTCTAATCATCGGGTCCACCAGCCTGTTTTTAAGGTTGGGCTTAGGCGTTCACAGATAAGCCTTGTGCCTGATATATTATGTATAATAAAAAATATGTAAATAATATATAATAAATATATAATTTATTAATTAAAAATGATGGTTGATTCCGATTCTACTCTCTTCATGAACCAAGCAGCGTCAATTGGAATCCCATTCCAATTTCTGTCTGATCCAAATGGGTAGGGGGAATAGACTATTAAATTTCAGGGGATTTTCATTCTGATTCTGATGTAGAACTAAATGGAGCCTTAGCTTATTAAATTACACCATAAGTTTTATATGTTTTGATTGGACTTCGGGCTTTAATTTTATATAAGGGCTAGGGTCAACCTGGGGTTTACACATTTTTTGTTAATAAAGAAGTAAAGCTCAACCTGAACCTAGTTCAGCCTGATCCTAAACAGGTGTAGTCAGGACTGGTCATTGGTTTTGTGGAGTCAGAATATTTTTTGATTTTTTTTTCAAAGGAATTAGGATTTTTTTGCAAACACAAATGTGTTATACAGATAGGAATCTACTATCAACAAAATGCTCCCAACACCATCCTAACAAGACATTGTAGCTGCACATTGGGAACATTTCCCTTGTCATTCATGGGAAATGTTCCCAATACTCGACTGTAATGGCTTAGGAGGAATTATCCCGATGCCAGTTCTAGTTATGTGGTTTTGTCATGATTAATAATTGAGTTGTGAGGATCCTTGCTGTGCGGAACCAATTGTGATATACTTAGGCCCCATTCGTTTTTCGATAAGTTACTTTACTCAGGTAAATGCAGTTACTTGGGTAAGTTTTTTTTGGGAAATACTTATCCGGGTAAGTGCATTTACCCATATTCTTTTATTTCTCATGTAAATAAGGCAATGACCATATTAGTTATAAAAATCCATTATTAAAAGGGGCATTTTTGTCCCATTCAAGCCCCCTAGGTGGAAAAGTTATTTACCCACCTAAGCGATGGTTATCACTTACCCAGGTAAGTGGTACTCAAGGAAATAAGCTTTTCCTTATCCCCACATAAATCTGAAAAAAAAGAATATGGGATTCTTGGTCAATGGGAACCAAAATCCCATTGACCAATTTTCCCCTCTCAAAATCCAAAAAAAAAAAAACGCCCCCTTAATACTATTTAAAGGGATATTTTAGTTATCTTGTAATTTATGTTATATTTTATATTTCATAGACATATATAAGATAATTTTGGTGAAAAACAGTTGCGTTACCTATATATAAACATTTCATTTTTTTATTTTCATTTTTATCAATTTTATATCATAAAAAATAAAGTATTAATTACTATTATTATCATAGGTAAATTATAAACTCCACCCATGCAACTTTGTCTTACATTGCCGGTCCCAAACGTGGATAAAGAAGATGGGTGCATGGTTGGAAGTTGGAAGTTGGCACTAAAACTTTTGTCAAATTCTCATGATATAGATACTAATTTACTTTCCATGTTCATTAAATAGAGCAGATTGGTGAAACAAGCTCCCACGCCATATAGTTGGCGTGTTGGGATGAGGCATGGATGATCATAGGTAATTATAGACGTTATGTAAAATTAGGTCTAATTGGGTCAAACCCAATTATACCGATGATTAATTGGTTCTGGTTCTAATTCTGGGTCTATCTTTGTGGAATTCGGATGTGCTCCTCATAGAGCATACATTACACCAACCTCGCAGCTAGGGGGGAACAAGGAAAACAATCCAAACCAATGAGGTCGAATAAAAAATTTCGGTTAACTAAACCAATTGGTTTGGTTTTGGTTCAGTATTTTTGAAAAACCGAAGATATCGGTTCAGCTTTAGTTAATTAATAAATCGGCAGTTAACTGAACTGACTGGTATATATATTTTATTTTTATATATTTTAAACTATTTATATATTAATGAATATATATGCATTATATATACACATATATATAATGTTATTTATTATTTATAATATAATATTTTATATGTAAATCTAATTTTTTATTATGTTATAAAAATAAAAAAACCGACAAACCGAATCGATAGGTAACCAAACTGATTAACTGATTGACTTTGGTTCGATTTCAGTTACCAATTTTCCATAAACCGAAACTACCAATTCAATTTGAAATTTAGGCCCACGGTTTGGTTAACCGAACCATGGACACCCCACTCACAGCACATCATTACTGTGCATTGAGAACATCTTCTCATGAATGATAACATCAAATACCGGAAATGATCTCAATGCACAGTTACAATACGTTGTGAGATTGGTGTGAGACGCACTCTATTAGGAACAAATCCGATCTCTATTTTATGAAACTGATTAATTGCCAATTCAGGACTAATACATCCTATCTGTATCAGATCCGATCCATTGATAGTACTAGTGCTATATATTGTTACGTACGAATATTATAAAATAAAAGCATATAATATTATACATAAACCTCTATTTACATAAATTATGACAAATATCTTATGATATTAAACATAATGTATTTAAAGCCGTAGGCCAAAAATCGGGTTGTGGTCCGGGGTTCTTATTATAGATTTATAGGTGCTAACCTTACCTCAACCCATGATCACCCCTAGAGACAATTAGGGGTGCAACTTTGATGGGCTCAACCTAATTCACCTTAATCTAATCCAAGTTTTTGCATAGGTTGAACCAAAGCCAGAGAACTTGGGCCTAATCTAAATTAGGGTTGAGCTTGGATTGAGGCCTCGAGTAACTTAAACCCAGCCAAATCCAACCCGGGTCTGATTTTTGATATATATATATATATATATATATATATATATATATGAAAATAACATTTATATATTTTTGATAAATTATACTATTAAGTCAGATCATATAGTCTGATAAAAGATGACTATAAAAATATATACATAAATTTTTTCAAATTCAACTAACCCGCCCAAGCTCGATTAATCTGACCCAATCCAATATGAGCTCGAACCCTGTCCAAATTGATTGTTGGAAGTGGGTATTCTAAACCATACAATAATTAGTTTTGGCTCAAAAAAATTCCCCCTTGTGCTTCTCTACATCCTTCATCTATTGCAAAAAAGACGTGTTGAAGTGGTAAGAAATGGTTAAAGTGCTTAAATGGTGATATAGGTGAAATAGTTCATGGAGCCGATCGATCCCATAACGCTTAGATGATTATGGTAAATGGTACTATACAGTTTTTAGAATGACTGTTCAGCTCACATCAGAATTCTTAGTCCCATCGACTGTACTTTTTTTTTTTTCCTGAAGCCGGTACAGGTTATGCTTGTGGGAGAAAGAAAAGTAATTTTTAGTTTGGTTTTGTTCGTCTTTGACGCTATTCTTACTAATAAAATTATGATTATATTTACATTTGAACATTTGATGGAATCACAGGGATTAGGGATGTTGACGATATCAGCAATTTTTCCTTCTCCGAGCTTACTTCACTGCCAGAACACAAAGAAAAACAGCTCATGCACTCCTCAATTCCAAATCGTCTTCTTCTTTGCCTCTCTGTATCTTGTGGCCCTTGCCCAGGGAGGGCACAAGCCATGTGTGCAAGCTTTTGGTGCAGATCAGTTTGATGCACAGAACCCAGATGAGTGTAAATCCAAAAGTTCATTCTTCAATTGGTGGTATTTTGCGATTAATGGCAGTGTCTTCATATCACTTTGGATATTAAATTACATTCAAGATAACTTCAACTGGATTCTTGGATTTGGAATTCCCTGCATTTCCATTGTAGCTGCACTTGTTGTTTTCTTACTTGGAAGGAAGACATATCGATACAGTTCCAAACAAGACAATAGCAATCCATTTGTGAGAATTGCCCAAGTGTTTGTTGCTGCAGCAAGGAACTGGCGCACCACTCCCTCAACTGCTGCTGTTGCGAAGGAGGAAGAAGCAAGAGAACCACTCCCTCGGCATGGCACATACCAATTCGAGTAAGAAAAAAAAAGAATTTCTTATTCTTAATTTCAATATAAGGATCAATTAACTCAGGATCTGCCTAATTATTATTATGTCATCTCACTGGTTCCATGAATGTGGAGGATATATCTTGTCCATGAAATGCCTACTCACAATAGGCTTTTATACATGAGAAGGCCCATGTTTCATGGCATTACTTAACATATGATATCTTGTAGCTCCAATAGGTGATAAAGTGAGAGAAAGTAGATGGTTTAATCAAGTGCATAGAAGACCATTTATGGAACCTGTAAGAAATTTGCTGCAGGTTGAAGGGGCTAGAAGGGCCAGTTACAAACCAGAAAGGACTTTGTCCGAAGCAATAAGAAATGATTTAAGGGCTCATAATTTAATAATTAACATGACACTAAACAGATTGGAATGATGACAGGATTTGTGTAGCCAATCCCTATGGGGTAAAGCTAAAATGATGATGATGACATATATATAAGAACTTTACTACTACTCTCTATAGCCAGAACTTGAAATAGTATTCATCCTATTCTTCAATTTCTTGGTTTTGATTTCTTTCAAATGATGCAGGTTTCTTGACAAAGCACTGGCTATGGTTTCAAATGATCAATATGGTTCAGATGAAAATTGGAAAATGTGTAGCATCAGTCAGGTGGAAGAAGCAAAGGTGGTCCTGAGCTTGGTTCCTATATGGGCAACATGTTTAATGTATGGAGTTGTATTTGCTCAATCCTCTACCTTCTTCATCAAGCAAGGACTCACCATGGACAGATCAATTACGTCTGGTTTCGAAATACCACCTGCCTCACTTCAGTCCCTTATCGGTGCTGCAATTATTGTGTTCATTCCCATTTATGATCGTATCATTGTTCCAATTGCTAGAGCTTATACTGGGAAGCCTTCTGGTATAACAATGCTTCAAAGAATTGGAACTGGTATGTTTCTATCTCTAATTTCCATGGTTGTGGCAGCAATAGTTGAGAAGGAAAGACTTAAAGTGGCCAGAGATTCTGGACTAGTAGATATGCCACAAGTAACTCTTCCAATGAGCGTGTGGTGGTTAGTTCCTCAGTATGTCTTGTTTGGAATTTCTGATGTCTTCACAATGGTTGGTTTGCAAGAATTTTTCTATGATCAAGTCCCAAATGGATTGAGAAGCATGGGTCTATCCCTTTACCTTAGCATCTTTGGCATAGGGAACTTCCTAAGCAGCTTCCTCATCTCTGTCATTGAGAAGGAAACCAGTAGGGGAGGCCAAGACAGTTGGTTTGCAAATAATTTGAACCGGGCACATCTAGATTGGTTCTACTGGCTTCTTTCTGGATTAAGTGTAATAGAATTAGTTTTGTATTTGTATTTTTCCAAATCATACATCTATAACAGAGCAAGTGCCATCTGAGGTACCTCAATCCTGTTACAGATTTCTTATTCACATTTGTATGTATATTAGAATAATGCCAATGAAGTAACTATTTGTTTTCTCTGAATGTTATGTTGTAGATTGAAATTGCTCATTCTTTCCTCTTGTGAGTTCAGTGATTCATGAGTTTAACTTTTGTATATGATTGCTTTTTAATTTCTTTCAGTCTTACTATATCAATTTTTTATTAAAACTTAAAGATCTCATGAAACTGTAGAAGGGTGATGTCTCTTGTTTCAGAGTTATAGCTTATATAACAGATGCTTAGCTCAACAAACTTTTTTTTTTCTGTTAGAATAAGATATACCAAGCTGGGAGATAATGGTAAAGAGGGACAAACAAACTACAATCGACAAATTCTAAAGGGGTGTTTTCAAATTAGTGAACCCCGACCCTGAAGAGTGCAATATATATGTTTATCACATAGTTGGATATTTAGAAATTATTCCTCAATAGGGATTATGAAGCAAATATGTAAACTACAATTATAATGCAAATCAGATTGAAAAACTTCAGAGGAGTTTTCTTTGGCCCCCAAAGTTGAAGGGGGGTTAGGTATAAGAAGGAAGTTGAAATCTTTTAATTCTGCTCTCCTCTGTAAGTGGATTTGGAGATTTTCTGTAGAAAATGATGCATGGTGGAGATCTCTCATTGCCAACAAATATGATGTGAATTGGGGCAATTAGAGAACTGGGGACCCTCCTCCCAACTGGGGTAACTCTCTGTGGAAAGGGATAATGAAGAACTTTTCAGCTCTAGCCGCGGGGGTCTGAGTTAGGGTTGGTAATGTTAACAGGACCAAATTCTGGAAGGACCCTTGGTGCTCAGAGAAACCTCTTGCTGAGTCCTTCCCCCTCCTCTTCCAGTGTGCTTCGGATCAAGAGATCTCAGTTGTAGAGTGTTATAATATTTCTAGTGGTTCAGTTCTTTGGACTCCCTCATTTCGAAGGAATCTTTTTGATTGGGAGGTGGAAGAGGTATTGAATCTGTTGACCTGTCTTCAAAACCAAGAGTTGGATTACAGTTCGAAGGATAAGTGACATTGGAAGTGGAACTCTGATGAGGTGTTTTCTGTTAAATCTTTGGCTGCTAATCTCGGTAGGAGGGGTGTTCCTGATTTCCCGGATCGGCAAGTGTGGATTCCCAACTGCCCAAGAAAAGCCAACTTCCTAATTTGGACTATGGCTCTTAATAAATGTCTTTCTAAGGAGAACCTAGTGAGAAGGGGAATTCAGGCTTCGGACTTGTCTTGCGGTCTATGTGGGAGCAGTGCTGAATCTACTGATCATTTGTGTATCCATTGTCTATATTCTGCTCAATTGTGGAATCGTTTCCTCACCTCCTTGAAGGTTTGCTGGGTGATGCTGAGGTCGGTAAAAGAGCTGTTGTGTTGTTGGCAGCTTATGGGTTTGAGCAAGAAAAAGAAGACTGTTTGGAAAATGGTTCCAATTGCTGTAATTTGGTCCATCTGGACCGAGAGGAATAGAAGGATTTTCAGTAACAAGTTTCTAAGTATGGATGAGTTAATTCAGAAGTCAGTGGGCAAGCTGTTATCTTGGATGTCTGTGGCTACGGATTTTAGAAACTGTAATGTGTCAGATGTATTTTTTTTCTAGCTCTTGATGGAAAGTGTATTTGCTGATTTGATCAGTCAGCCTGTTCTGGGACTGATCTCACCCTCCAATGTGTAATTCCTTATCAATAAATATTACTTTACCTTTTCCAAAAAAAAACTACAATTATAATGCAAAAGAACTGGAGAAGCAAGAAACAAAGACTAATAAGAGAACCCATGTAAGAATGAAATAGACAAGGGCTCCACATGTCCATTGCAATTAATTGTATTCTCCTATACTTGGTATGGGAAGTGAGAAATAAACTCATTTTTGACAAAGTTGAACCTACACCCCCTAAAGTGATATGCAAAGCACAGTTAATACACCACTGACATCCGTACAGAAACCTCAGTTGCCTGTGGTAACACATCAGCTGAGGACAAGTTGGTTCACAAGTAATAAGTTATTTATTTTTGGATCATATGACCTTGTTACTGGCAACATAAGACATCTGAATGTCAAGATATTGCTTAAATTCCTTTTTCAGTGTTCACTGTAATCTTTTTAACTGGAAGCTTTCTTGTAGGTATAGATTGCTCATTGTTCTTGATACATCAATTGTCAATTAGACACATCTTATCTGCGTTTTCTGAAAAATTTCTATACTGTTTTATGACAGCTGGTTGGAATGAATAGCAGAACAAGCAAATGTGATGATAGGTCACATTCTTGTTTCTATTTTTTAACATTGAATGTAGATCATTGGCTGTTAGACTGCAACCTCCTTTTGAAGGACTGACCAAGAACCAAGAAATCAGCAGAAGGGACAGCTCAGCATAATTGACCAAGAACCAACTGCATGGTTCAGTTACAAGTAACAAACCAAGAAATCAAGATTAGTGTAATAAAATACCACATGTCCATTACTTCGCTATAAAAAGTGGTATTGTACTTGGAGGAATAAGAGAAGTTTTATCAAATTTCCAATCTTATTCCCACTTCCCCATTGTTCACTCTCACAATCTTCAACCTAGGAGGCAGCTTCTCCCTCAAAGAGAAGCCTGTGTTGAGGCAGAACCTCAACAATTGGTATCAGAGCGAGGAAAACCTGAAGACGACAACAGGATGCCAAGCACCAGATCCAAGACTGTCAACGAAAGGGTATGTTATGGGCACACCATCCGGCAGTGCACTGCGGAGCAGTCATAGGCAGCAGCACGCACGGCAAGCCGCACAGCAGCACGCACCGCCTGGCAGCAGTGCGCACCGCACGCACCGCGCACCCACCCAGCACCGCACGGCAGCGGCACCATGGCGCGCAACACACACCGCACGAACTGCACGACAGCACGCACCGCGCACACGCCCGGCACCGCACGACAGTGGCACCATGAGCCGCGCACACGCACCCGGCAGCAGCAGCAGAGCGGGGTCCACACGACAGCTCATAGGGGTGGGCCCACCCTTATCTGGACACGTCAAGCCAACTCGCCGCCAACCTACCTTATCCTTATCTTATCCCTTATCTCTTATCTTTATCTAATCTTATCTTTATCTTTATCTTAAGTAAGAGTGAGTTACCATTAGGAGTAGGTAATTAGGAGTTTGAGTTCAAATTGGAGTTTGAGTTTAATTAGGAATTCCCTTTTGTAATCTCCTATTTAAGGAACTACAAATTGAAATAAAGGCATTCAGTTTTCCAGCCAAGAAAATAGTGAGGAGAGTTCGGGTGGTTCTTGGACAAATCACCCCAAGGGAGAGTTCGGGTGGTCTCTTGGACAAATCATCCATTCAGTTTCCGCAATAGGGTCTGCACGCAAGGGAAGGCGCAAGGGGAAGCAGGGCTTTCGCACCGTGGACCGGCCCGTGACGGGATCCTACGCACGGGGACCATAACAAATTAGTATCAGAGCCAAACGTCACGGGCGATATGGAGCAGCTGTCTTCTAAAGTCCACGAACTGGAACACCAACTTGCAGAAACCAGCATGGAGGTTCGTGAAGTCAGGGAAGACGTCCGAGAGATGCGACGCCTGCTGGAAGCATTCCTCTCCAACAAAGAAATGAGTTCGGAGGGAATCGCCAACACCAACAGACACTGTCTGGACTGGGCATTGGCATGCAGCGAACAACAGATCGTTGCCCCTACAGCTGCAGTTATTTCCAAGGATCAGCGCACGGAAGATGAAACTGTAAAGTTTCCTCCTTTGGCCGGGGACGATGTCACGAACATTATAATAGAACTCGCAGAATGCGCTCCTTTGACGGAGACAGGTGGGCTTGGCGATGTTGCTGGGGCTTTACCGAAGGCCTTGGCTCGACGTGGACATAAAGCTATGGTTGCGGCACCACAGTATGGTAACTATACAGAAATCCAAGAAACAGGAGTGTGCAAGAGATGTAAGGTGGAGGGGCAGGACATAGAGGTAATTTTCTTCCAAGCTTATACTGATGGCATAGATTTTGTGTT